ATCCTTTCCCCAGGATATTGGTATTCTTACAAAGGCATATTTGACAAAAATTTCAGAGTGCAAACTAAATGCTGACTTTTTGATATCTTTAAAATAAGTTAATCAAACTGATCTGCCTGAGAAGACATCCCTATGAAAATGCCAGATCTCTGTGATATTACAACATCAACTAGGTTTGACAACTGAATAGATTTATTTTTTTCAGCTGTGATGTAATCAAAACAGGGGAGGGGGAGTGATTTGTGCAACTGTAATGCTTGGCAGAGTAATTGAGTATCATGACTCACTCAGCGGCCTCATACAGATGTTAAAATTAGGAAAGGAGAAAAGGCCAAACCCTGTGACACCCCACAGAGTAGGGACCAAAGGTGGGGCCTCTCCTCCCCAATCATCACAAATCGGAATCACCAACTGGAATTGTCTGGGAAAGGAACTTATAACAAATTTGACAGCAATCATCTTTGCACCTGTAGATGTATTTCTTGAGGAAGAATCATAAAGAAGTGACAGATAAACTATGGAAGAATTTATGGGTAGACAGGATGAAGTGGGAATATAAACTATGACTGATGGAGAAATATTGGAAAATGAAGAAATTAAGCATTATAAAATCGATTTTAAAGTCAGAGTGGAAACAGAAATGATAAAATCAAGAGATGAAAAGGGACTTGCGCAAAGACTTATTTCTGAATCTACAAAAGAAGGTTTCTAACTCCTTGAAACAATCTTTGAGACGGAAGACAGTAAGTCTGCATGGAGATTCAATCCTATGACAACAACATGATGGACTAAAGATTAATATTTCGAAGCAAAAATAAAGAATTCAGACTGAACTAGTTTAATCAGGGTTAAAATATAGAATATTATTACAAAAATCTGGAAACCCTTTATGGATGTTTTGCCAACATTTGGACAGAAATTACAACAATTTGGGTGTTTTGAATGGAGGCAAAGGGATGTTAAAAAGTGGTTCTTGGTTAACAACAACAATTGAGACCAGAATTTCCATCACCCAGCAATGATATTTTAAAGCACAATGTCACATGACTATATGGCTTAATGACCACAATCCTAGCAGTCCCATTTGCTGCTGTTAAATGAGAATTACAGATTGTTAAGTGAGGACCTCCTTGTGACTTCAGTTTGCATTATCTTTTAGCACTGTAAACATTTTTAGTAAAAAGTACTGTGTTTTAAAAAAAATTAAATCCCATCACCACTAGTTAACAAACTAAAAGAATAATTTAATGACAAACAAGAAATCTACCATCTTCATACTATGTATAGCAAACTGCCATGCCAGCTATATGCATATCAGATCCTCAACTACCTATGTATCTAATAATTGTATCATCCCCGTCCACAACGTGCACTAGAGGATTTGTCTTCATCCTTCAGAAAATGAATTGTTTCTAAACTATAACTTTTATGTGAAGGATACCCATTCTTCTTTAAGAACTTAATTCCCCATGACAATATAGGACCTATATTACTAGGAATGGAGATGCAAAGTTCTCATATTAATTCCTTTTTAAAAAAAAAATCAAATGCTAATAAGAAAAAAAAATTACAAAGGTGTTTTTAGAGTTCCAACCATTGTTGACTTAGCCAAAACGTGGGAAAAAATGAGGCTGCCAAATACATTGTGCACAGAAACCAAAAGGATGTCCTTACATGCCCCAATATTGTATGTGGTAATAGAAAACATTTTCAGCACCTTCACAATCTACTAGCACACTGCTTTATTGCTAGAAAAAAATTCTCAGAAACTGTGTGGCAGTGAGCCAGAAATAAGTTTGTTGCATGTTAAAAGGCTACATTCCTTTCTGTCAAATGAAAGAGATTAAACAATCAGGCACTGACAGTAAGACAGCTGCAGATTTTACCCAAAAGAGGAGCCCAATTCTCAGAGCAGTCAGGGTCAACATTTTTTCTTTCAAATGCTTTATGAAAAAAAGTTGTTCTTGTTGTTGATGATTTATAGTGTGAGGGTTTGGTGAATCAAAATCTGATTAAACCCAAAAACCCCATTCAATAATGCCATGGACTGGGCGAGCAAAAGTTGATGGAGATGAGAGAGCCAAACAACAAGGCTCCAGGATTCATTCCGGTAGGTTAGAAGCCTTTGATAGGAGTCCTGAGAAATATATTTTTGAAACAAAGGATCCTCTGTTAGGTTGCCTTTTCTTGAGGATGCCCTAAATGGCAAGAGTAATATTTCAGTGTCTGAGTACAGAACTGAAAGACAGGGGACTTTCATACCACTAGGGAAAGATTCAAAGACTCAAAATCAAAGTTTACATTCTCCATAAACATCACCCAAAGAGTTCCACAAGAAAACTTCCAATTCAACTAGACTTGTGTTAATCCAAAAAACTCCCAAATAATACCAATGTGTCCTAAAAATCTACTTTATTTTCACAAACGATAGAAATCGTAGGAAGTCAACTTAACAGACATGAAACTAGAACTAATCCATTTTGCTTCTGTCAACGATTGACATGCTTTACTATTTTTCTGTATTTTATATGATTTATTTTTAAAACCATTGCAATCATGTAACTTTCAGCAATTTACAATGGAAAATATAACACAGAAATACAATTATACAATGATAACAAATATTTAAAATTACCTTAAAACTGAAGCACATAAATAACTTCTAAAATGCTATCTTCATTCATTAAAAAGGCTCTTTGCAAGAACTCCATTTTAACCTGCTTCCAGAAGGCAAACAGCCTCACCTCTGGTGATAAAAGCTATTCTACGACACAGGAGCCTTAATGGAGAAGATCTTCTCCCAACTAAAACATATAAAGAAAAGAAGGACTAGGGATGACATGATAGCAGTATTCCAATATCTCAGGGGTTGCCCCAAAGAAGAGGGAGTCAAGCTATTCTCCAAAGTGCCTGAAGGCAGGACAAGAAGCAACAGATGGAAACTAGTCAAGAAGAGAAGCAACCTAGAACTAAGGAGAAACTCCCTGACAGAACAATTAACCAGTGGAACAGCCTGCCTCCAGAAGGGGTGAATGCTCCAACACTGGAGGTTTTTAAGAAGAGACTGGACAGCCATTTGTCCAAAATGGTGTAGGGTTTCCTGCCTGAGCAGAGGGTTGGACTCAATGACCTCCAAGGTCCCTTCCAACTTTATTATTATTATTATATTATATTATATTATATTATATTATATTATATTATATTATAATTAACTTTGGCTCTTCTGATCATTTAATAGTGGAAGATTCCCAACAGTTTTTTAATGTTTGGATTGTACCAGACTTATTAATTCTAGTTGAAGGAGGTGGTCATGCAGATAAAGTCATAAAATCAACAGTTTAAATTACTCTTAAAACAACTGACAGCTAACGCAGGACTCACAGCACAGATGTAATATATTCCAAGTATCTAGACTCTAGCACCCATTAGCAAGTGGGCTGTTGTATTTTCTGTCAACTATAGTTTCCAAATGGTATTTAAAAACAATGCCACATAGAATATGCTGTAGTAGTTCCACCAGGTAGTGATGAGTTATTGTTGCTAGGTTCTTGTTTTGATTTTAATACAGATTCAGCAATACAAATTGAAATCTGCTTTTAAAAAAATTCACAGAGGAGATGATACGAAAAATGTACTTAATAAACATGGGCGTTGCTGAATTATTAATCAAAGGTTCCTCTCACTAGTAAAAGTAATTAATGAAAAATATCTAGTTTTATGAGAGAAAAATCAAGCAAATTACCACATAGGTCTTATTAGAAGTAGTTAATGAGAACATCAATGTTATATTAGAAAAGTAAGAGGCAACAGTCTGAACAATGTATCAGCAAAGCGATTTACTGATATTAAATGCACAGTAAAATAAAATATTTGAAACAAAATTATGAATTTTAAAGCTAGCATTCATTTTCTGTAATGAGATTTTCTTTTAAATATAATACATGGCATATTCAAAATAAAAAGTATGACAATTCATTTAATAATTGCATATGAACGATGACTGGAATGTAATGTAATATAAAGTCACGTAATGGAATGGAATGGAGTGGAGTGGAATGGGATGGAATGGAATGCCTCTGAATCAGCCACATCTGATTTAAATACAAAAGTCTGACTTTCTGACTGCCTAGTCAAATACCATCTGCTTACAGCTCTAGCTTCTCAAATGTAAGAAGAGAAAGGAACTAAAGAAAAATCCTCTCCAGCCTAAATTCAACCTAACCCAATTGATTGCTTTTGTTCTTTTCTACAGCATATTGCTTGTCACTGCAAAAAGTTTGCGTAAGAAAATACCAAGCACATAGGGCCTTCTGAGCTTAAGAATAGAACCGTGCATACCATTTTAGTTTATAGTGGAAAAATGGTCTTTTATTCAAGCATTAACAGATCAACACTTACTTAGCTTTAGCACTACATTTCTAATGGGACAAACTGATGCCCTCTATGTCTTTTTTTTTCACTTTCCATTCTTCCTATTCTTTACCACATTGAATGAAGAATTAGTCCAAAACATCTGGAAGGCCTCAGACGGCCCACTCCACCACCTGGGAAAGACACTCTTATTGTGAAGCTACTGAGTGCAGCTGCCCTCTGTCAATCTGCTGTTGAAACGTTATTATTCTACTTGAATTCAAGAGATCAAGATTCATGACTCAGCTAAACTAGATCTACTGTATACTGAACTGAAAAAAAAATTGTTTCAATCCTAGAATTAAAGTACATCTGACATTTAAAACAATTTATTTGCAAGCAATGAGGACAGAGATGTCAAATATGCCTTGCTTTTCTCCTTTCATTAATTACTATTTGCTGCCGCCAACTATGGTTTTCAGTACAAATTTCTTCCAACTCAGTTCACAATTTAAAGGGAATTGCATAAGCCATGCTCTAAAAATATCTACTTCCTCTCTGATACACCCTCCAAAATCATAGTGGGTAAAATTTAGCTCTAGAATAGCTTTCTTTAGTAAGGCTAACTAAAAATAAGAATTACAAGTTACCATTTTGCAAAGTCTGTGCCCGTGACTCCTTTCCCAAGTTGACATGAAATCCTCCAACAGTTTGAGTTTTTCCTGCTGCTACAAGAAAAAGAAAAGAAAAAGCTGTCAAATATAACATATTAATGGCAACATTTCAGTACATCTTGCCCAGACTCTCTTTTGCTAAGTATTTCAACCTAACAAACATCAATAGTCCTAGACTCTGAGGCTCCTCTTATGTGATTATGAATCTCAAGCTGCTGCTGTTTTCTTTTTTCTTTTTTGGCATCTCTATCAGCCTCTAAAGTTCAAGTTCTCAATATATTTTTTGTAAATAAGCTGCATATATTATTCATATATAATATGTGTACATAGGCAGCTCAAAAACAATTTCAAAGATTCATATTAGAGTTCTCAAAGGCATACTATGCACTAATTACTATAATGTTTAAGGGTTTAACACCCTTCCAAAATGTAACCAACCCTGTTCTGTACTCCCATATGACCTTAATCCTTCTCTTCTCTCAATAACCTCTGATTTTGCTTTTATCAACCTTACTAATAGATCAGATTTATCAAGTCCAGCATTCCTATTTCTCGCACTGACCAATCAGGTATCTCTGGAAATCCAATAAATGACATATGAAAGATATATATATGCTTCCCAACAACAGGTATCAGTAGCATAAGGCAGGTTCCAACATAATTAAGAGAAACTGATGGGCTTATCCTCTGATTTTTGATGTCATAGAAGATGTCTAGGAAATTCTCTGAAGCTAAGTATTGTACATTATCAAAGCAATGCAAATGGTCTACATTGTTGTTTGATATTAATACATTCCTTTCTAATCTTAAACTAATACCAATGTCTTATTTTCATCACCATGAAAAGCATGAACTCTTTTTGGATAATAGTCATGTGCAACCCTAGCTGACAATCTTTTCCTCTATCAGTAACAAGAAAGGAATAGTTCTTGCAAGGGTTTGCCTTAAAGATTTGTTACTCCTGTGATTGCACTATAGCCCACTGTTCAGCTGAAAGAATTAAGTCATCTTAGTTTGTTGACAACTCTAGATAAGAATGCAAGTCCTCCCATCCAAAGTGAACATTATAATAACTACACTACTGTCTAACTTATTTTAAGAATTGGAGATAATGTGAAGTGCTTTACAGTGTTCTGACATTGGGTTTGTTCATAAATACTAAACTTTACATGAATGAGCTACACGTCTGAGGAAAGTAAAAGGCAGGGCAGTTTACATGTCTCAACTATTTTTTTGGTATGATACCATTAGGAAACCAGCATTGTTAGGAGCAATTATGGAAGAAATAAGAAAATAACCAATTAGCTGTGGGTAACCAATTCTCAAAAACTGGGGTCCAAAAACTACAATATTGCATTGAACTAACTGACACTCTTAAGCACATATATTTGTAGATGAACAAATGTTCCTGGAGTGTTACTTTAGGTTACTTTTCATAAAAATATGTCAGGATGGGTTATTTCTCTGTTATTCCAGAGAATTTTACAATCTTCCATAGAACGTATAAGAGTATGCACAGGACTAAAAAAGATATTTTGCAAAGCACATCAGAGGAAGCAAAATACCCCTTCTTGAAGTACTAACGCAGCCATATTCTTTCAATGCTAGTGTAGTTGCTTTCAAGGGTTATTCCAGGTCATCCATATCTATGTGAATATGCAAATGTATTTTACTAATTTCTAGGCCATTTGCAATTATTCATGCAAGCTGTCAATCCAGACTTTCATCAGCATAAAAAAACAATCCTCCTGAAACTCCCAGGCAATTCAGAATGTGGTTTTCATTTTATAATACTGCAATTTTTTCATCTCTTGTGTTTTTCAACCTTGGCAACTTTAAAATGTGTGGACTTCAACTTTCCCATGCTGGCTGGGAATTCTGGGAGTTGAAATCCACATGCCTTAAAGTTGCCAAGATCGAAAAACACTGTGCTAAAGGAATGCAAAGTAGAGGAGTTATACATCTTATACACTTGTTGACTCCACAGTTCATTTAAGCACATCTTGTCCTGGTTGTCAGTGTGTGTGTGTATATATATTTGAGCACTTGCCTTTTATTGGGGCTTCTTTGGACTGGAAGAGGGGTATTATATATGTATTTTGTGTGTGTGTGTGTGTGTGTGTGTGTGTACTCACACACACACACACACACACACACATAACACATATATAACACCCCTCTTCCAGTCCAAAGAAGCCCCAATAAAAGGCAGGTGCTCAAATTCTTGAGCTAATAAAATCTTTACAGTATAAAAGGGGACCAATGTAGGCCTAATTCAGAAGTCAGCATTTTCACATCACCAAATATCTTCTGCAAGATTTCAAGTAAGCCTTCATTGTTGTTATGAAGGTTATTAGAACATTACTCCTGAGACATGATACAAGACTGACACCTGGAGGAAACCATAAGAGGCACAGTAAGAGCACTAAATATACGTTATGGATTTTCACTAGCAATATTCTTACGTACATGCTCCTCCATTTCAAGGCAAGCAACATTATACAGACCTTGGGAAAGAGTTTGAAATAATATGAATAATAAAAACAGGTACACAAAATACACTAAAGCTACATGAGAAAAGAGAAAAAGAAATGTAACCTTTCAAATCATCCTTGTTTCTATCATATCTATACACTATTTCACATTTTATTTTTTGTTAGACTTGTTAGACTTCTCACTGCTTTCATTTTTAGGAGTTAATTAAATGTTATCCAGCTATAACTTTTTCCATCTTCCCCATTTGCTCTGCTTTATGTATTTTAAAGTTCAATTCACACTTATTCTCTCCATATCACCAACGAATGTCTTTTGTAGTAAATTAACTTTTGTATCCATTCAATACTTAATCATGTCTAATCTGAATTTGTTTTAACTGCATATTTTAAGTATTCTATTCCAAGTTCATTAATTTTTCTCCTGAAATACTCAATTCTCATTTCCTTATAACTTATTTATTAAATTTATATGGTTACCCATTCTAATAAGAACTTCCATATAACAAGGTGAATAAAAGCAAACTGTACAAAAAGCCATTTTTACTTCCTTTGACAAATACTCATCCCTTGCAACAGACATTCTTATTTCTACATTTCTATCAAAGTATTTTCATGCATTTTGCTCTTTAGTAAAATTCTGTCTATTTATTCCAAGCTTTTGCCTTTAACACACTTGCAAATATTCAGTCCATTTTCCTAATCAAGCACATTATTAAATTAATTTTCAGATCATCATATATCCTCTTTGCATTATATAATCTTTTCAATATTTGCTATAAATCATTTGGGTTCATAGCTAATAACAAGGCATGCTCTGTTACAACAGTACATGCATATTCACACTCCCAATCAACACACATCTGTCATCACATGGTTTTTTTATACATTTGTCCATCAACACAGTAAACAGGCAAGGAAAAATCACACTTATTTATCTTGCTCTTAGGTCAATGTTAAAAAAATTCTGTGAGCATTCCACTTATTTTCTCACATGCTTTACTTTCATCAAATGCCATTCATGCATTCAATAACCAAACTGTATTTCCATATTTGTGCAAAACTCCATTGTTTAAAGGGCAAAGAGCCCCCGTGAAGCCAGAAGCAGCATGTGCAGCCACTTGGTGTCCACTGCAACCGATGTGTCCCAGTAGCAGCAGAGCCAGCAGGTAGGGCAGGTGGAGGCCAGAACATGCTGAGGGCTTGGTTCATTGCGGCCACAGGGACAGAGAGGGCAGGGCCGGCAGTAGCAGCATTCCCACTCCCATCAGCCCCCACACTCTCCACCTCCTGTACGTGAAAAAATAAGACATCCCCCGAAAATAAGACCTAGTGCCTCTTTGGGAAGCCAAAAAAATATTATTTTCAGGAAAACTGGTAGAGGAAAAATCCCTTTTTGATTACAATACCTCCGGCACCTCTCAGTTACATATTGTATGTGAAATTCTTATAGGAATTACATCACTGGCATTTCTGCACTGAAGCAGGTAAAAATTCTCCAGATCTCCATAAATTTGTTGTATTACTCTATTAAACTCATTTCAACTGTTTACCTTAATCTGACTCCCAAACATATTTCAAATCTAGTATTCTACCTCTGTTTACCTCCAATGCATGACTAAATTTTCATGTTATATCTTTAGATAATACAAAACAGTCATTCATTCTCAAAATTAAACAGTTACTGGTTAACTCCATTTTTGTTAACTTTCTACAGAAGCACAATAACAGCATTCTTCCAATTATCCAGCATAGATATATTTTTTGCATAAATTATTCAGTGTTGATGCCTCCTGACTCCAATCCTCTCTGGGCGACTCACAATATTAAAAAGCAACATAGAAACAACAAATTAAAATATAGCACATAGGAGCAAATTACAAAAAAATAATTAAAGAATTCACACAATCAAACCAAAAACAAACCAGAAGCATACTTGAATATTTCTCCAAGTATACCATCAACACATATAGTTGCATTTTTCAACATTCCCACAGCATTTATGACTTCATCAGCCTTTTCTTGGGCCCATGCATGTATAGCATTGATTTCAATTCTACTCTTCAGCATATCACTATTATTCCCATACAAATTTCTAAAATATCCTTTCTAGCATTCCCAGGTTTTATTTTTAATTGCATTTACTCTGCTGGTTCCCTTAATTCAGAACAAATTTTATCTCCACACAATGTCTCTGCGTTTTCTGTCACTTTTAAACACATTCCTCATTCTCTTAAGCTACGCTTTTTGCCATTTTTTTCTCTATATGCACATGTTTTTCCACCAATCATTCTTACACCCATTTTCCCAATCTACAACCTCTTTTAGTTTGACCTCATAACCAATGTACGAGAACACTATTAATGTATGATATCAAGCAATTTACATCATCTTTAAAGCTAACTTTGTAAAACTGCAAGGAAGTAATTTAAATTTTAAATAAAAATGCATAATCAAAACAATAATCAGAGTCATTTTTCTGTTTCATCAGAAATATCAATTTGCTGGATTAAGCCACTATAGCAGTGGTTCTCAACCTTTCTAATGCCGCGACCCCATAAT